AGCGTATCTTTGTAGTCCGTCCAAACATTAACTAGGAATTTATTCCTCTCCGTTCATGAATAACTAAACCACTTTTCCCAAAACCTCCTAACAACAAATCTCTTCACCTCTCTGGTAAACCCACAGACATAGTCCGTGTCAGAATCGGAATAGCCTTGGTTGGAGCACAATGCCAAACATCAATATTATCATTAGAATATTTTTTAGATAACACAACAATAGGGGCCCTCATCTACGCATCTTTTGGCATGTCACTCGTAGAATACTTTAAATACTCCTTCATTTTATAATACGTAATCCCCCTTTTAATATTAGAATTTTCAAGTCAATACTTCACCATCCATGGCACCTGTTTGTCGTTAATTAAACAATAACCATTCCCATAATACACTAATTCGCACTGGCAATCTATGGGGAAAACAAAGTATGCCTGCAAACTGTCATTACCATCTAACCTCCTGTCATACACATTTACTTTGACCAACCCACTGGCATTGGGTGCGCAAAGAGGGAATATTTTATCAACCTTAATACTCTTTTATTTGTATCTCAACCTCAACTGAGAAATAAATTAAGCAAAGCAAGTTCAATACAACTAAAATCACTCGTTGAAACATCTTCAACAACACTAGTTCTTATATCGTTCACCTCCATTCACCTGAACATTACAAATAAAAATACATAAAATTAATTTTCTAAACAGTTTTAAAGTACATTTGACTCCTTAACGTAATTTTGTATTATTTTCCACTAACAGTAGCAGCCACTAAATATATGGCACCCTTTCGAATGCTTCTAACATTTCCCAACAGCGTACCTTTGTAGTTCGTCTGAACATCAATTGGAAAGAACCGGTCCACAACTTCTATCCCATGACGAACGTACTCTTTGTCTTTGCCACCAACGAGCTTAAATCTCATTTTCTTTAGCATCCGAAACCGGTCGGACTAGTCAGGATCAACAATCCAAGTCTCAGGATTACTTTTGCTAACTCCAATAAATATCTTGTCAGGTATGGGGATGGAATCTGACGGACTATTATCACTTATGACGAAAAATAATATGTCGTGAACCACAGCTTCGTCTTTAGCATCTTGTCCCAATTGAACATTCTTAATTAATTTTATACCCTTAACCACGAATGTACGCCGCCTTAAAAGGTGCATGACTACGGTAACTACGCTTATATCCACTAGTTGTCGGTGTCTTTGACCGGCGGTACGCAAGGGGAGTCTGATACTGGCTGCTCATTACTCCTTCTATTTTTTATAAAACAATCAAATCTTTTATCCTACAAATTCTACAGATTCTCTTACCTCTGCTAACCCTTCTGTTTAGACACCTTATCTTTGATATTTTTTCCCTCTACTCCTCGTACCCACGAACAAACTTTGCCCGAGCTGACCGCCGCTTCTCTTCCCACAGTCCTATTTACCACGCCAAAAAACGATATACACACATTTTAGTGAATTATCCGTGATTCTCGAGATACTCTTCTAAGTAGTACAATATTGTCTACCAAAATAATAATAATAAAAAAGACTGAAAATAAGGGACGAAACAAGGTACCAGAAAACAATTTCACCAAAATAGCTATCCCATTGTAAAAGCATATTCCTCTATATCATCAAATGTGTTCTAGTACCAAATAAATAGCCAAACTGCCCCTTGATTAAGTACAAAGATTCCCCATTCAAAATAATTCAAACGCATTTATTTTCCCGCCTTTGCTTTATGTTTATCATTCTACAAGAATATTTACTTTAGAACCACACAAATCACCAGAAAAGTGACACATGTATAGCACTATCTGGCAAAGGAATCAAAAGTACTCACACCACTCACACCTGGGCCCAAGTGTGACTTCCTTTTAACCCTATCCATACACGTGTCCATAAGTACAACAATGGGCAAGCCCCCCCTCCCGCTGATCTAGGCCGTCCATTGTTGTACTTGTGGACACGTGTATGGATGGGGTTAAAAAGAAGTCACACCCAAGCCCAGGTGTGAGTGGTGTGAGTACTTTGCTTCCTTTGCTAGATAGTGTTATACACGTGTCACTTTTCTGGTGGTTTGCGTGGTTATAAAGCAAATATTCTTACAGAATGATAGACATAAAGCAAAGGCGAGAAAATAAATGTATTTAAATTATTTTGAATGGAGAATCTTCGTACTTAATCACGGGGCAGTTTTGCTATTTATTTGGTACTATAACACATTTGATGGTATAGAGGAATATGCTTTTACAGTGGGATAGCTATTGTGGTGAAGTTATTTTCTGGTACCTTGTTTTGTCCCTCATTTTCAATCTTTTTTTTTTTTGTTGTTGATTGTTTTGGTATACAATGTTGTACTCTTTAGAAGAGTATCCCGAGAATTACGGGCAGTTTACTCAAATGTGTGTAGATCGTTTTTTGATGTGGCAAATAGAACTGTGGGAAGAGAATTGGTGATCAGCTCCGGCAAAGTTTGTTCGTAGGTACGAGGAGTAGAGGGAAAAAATATCAAAGTAAAGGTGTCTGAACAGAAGGGTTAACAGAGGTAAGAGAATCTGCAGAATTTGTAGGATAAAAGATTTGGAGTGTTTTATAAAAAATGGAAAGAGTAATGAGCAGCCAGTTTCGGACTCCCCTTGCGTATCGCCAGTCAAAGACACCAGCGGCCAGTGGATATAAACGTAGTTACTGTGGTTGTGCACCTTTTAAGGCGGTGTACATTCACAGACTGTATGTTCAGAATATTCCCTGATATATTAAGAAGACTAAGAGGGGAGTAAGGAAGTTACAACTGTACGATGAACAATTAAGGGACTTTAAATTTGATAATAAAGGTGTGGCGAGATTGCTTAATGGTATTGAGTTGGGTAGTAAGAGATGTAACCGTCAATCAGACAAGATCGTGGTTAAGGGTATAAAATTAATTGGAAATGTTCAATTGGGACAAGATGCTAAAAACGAAGCTGTGGTCCACCACATATTGTTTTTCGTCATAAGTGATAATAGTTAGTTAGATTTCGTCCCTACACCTAACAAGATATTTATTAGAGTTGGTGAGGGTAATCTTGAGACTTGGATTGTTGATCCTGACCAGTCCAACCGGTTTCGGATGGTAAAGAAAATGAGATTCAAGCTCGTTGGTGGCAAAGACAAACAATACGTTCGTCGCAGGATAGAAGTTGTGGACCGATTCTTCCCAGTTGATGTTTGGATGGACTACAAGGATACGATATTGGGAAATGTTGGAAGTATTCAAAAGGGTGCCATATATTTAGTTTACAACCACGCAAACCACCAGAAAAGTAACACGTGTATAGCACTATCTGGCAAAGGAATCAAAAGTATTTACACCACTCACACCTGGGCCTGGGTGCGACTTTCTTTTAACCCAACCCATACACGTGTCCATAAGTACAACAATGGACAACCCAGATCAGCAGAAGGGGGGGCGCTGGTAGTATTAATACAGTGCCCCCCAGTCACACCACTCACACCATTCACACCGAGTTTTTAGACTAATAAGGAGGCCTTGTACGATGTGTGTGCGCGCCATAATCTTTTCTATTTTTTTTTTTTAACTCCACTTTTAGTTTACTACCTTATGTATTAGTATTGTATTGGAGATAAACATGAATAGCAGGAACCATTACATAAATAATACAATAAGTGTAGCATACAATGGAATGAAATAGAGTGGAAATGAAAGTGAAAATTAAATATAAAATTGAATGGAATGGAATGAAATGTCCATTTTCATTATATTGTTTACTTTTCAACGTGTAATGACATAAAAAAAATAAAAAATAAATAAAAATAAAAAAAAGGAGGAAGAAGAAGAAGAAGATGATTCTCTTTCTTATGTTTAGTTATGCTTATTAAACTAATGGAATGAAATAAGTTTTATTATTATTTTTTTTTAACAAGCTAGTAACAAATAAATTAAAAAGTTACATAGATTATGATAGCATTGGTAGTTGTGAAAGTGATAATGTGAGTCGTGGTATTGGTGGTGGTAACATCGATGGTGGTAGTAGTAGTGGTAGTGGCAACATCGATGCGGTGGTGGTAGTGGTAATGGCGGCGATAGACAATGATAGTAGAGTGGTGGTTCTCATAATGGTGATATTGGTGGTGTGATTTTTGTAAAGGTGGTGCTGTGGCAACAAAGGCAGTGGTGGTAGTAGGATAGTGGTTCTAACGATGGTAATGGTAGTGGTTTTATGATTGTGGTGTGGTGGCAGCAACATCAGTAGTATGGTGGTAACAAAATGATAATATTTTTTTTTTTTTAAGAATTAACAAAAAAATAATAAAATTTTATTGTGATTACATGATGGAATAGAAAAGTCATTCCTTAAGTGGGAAAAATGATTAGTTATTCTTACATTTTGGTGAAATAGTCATTCTATCATTCCAATGATACAACTATTCTGACTTAGATTAGGCATACCAAATAAGAAAAAGAGAATGTAAAGCTAAAATAGCCATTTCATTCTAATCTATTGCATCGTACCATACGTGTTGTACGAGACTAATGTCTTGTTTGGCAAGATAGTTAGGACTAATTTAGCCCACTAAAAAATAAAAAAGCTAAAAAACTAATAAAGTAAAATATCATATTCAAATCATAATCATTTCACTTTTTCTTTCACAAAATTATAAAAAAAATCAAAAGTTCATTCTAAATGAATTTTTTTTTAATTATGCTAAAATAGTTATAAAAAAAAAACCCTAAAAAAAAAACCCCCTAAAAAAACCAAGATAAAAAAAAAATCTTCCCAAATGGAGGGTAAACCAACGTATTGGAATATATCAAACCAAGATGAACCAACATATGGGAAAATATTTGTCAGTCCGGGTGTTCTGGCCCAGATCAATCTGCCCATCTAACAAACACATGGTGGGACCTAAAATATTAATTTTAGTCATCATCCGACCCAATAGTCTCTAGGCTGGCCCAAGAAGCCCATTTTCAGGGATCTGATCGGATCGGATCTCATGCCGGAGTACCAATCCCCACCAATACCAAGCACAGAAGCAGGTTGCGCCTTTGACGCATTTTTAGAGAAAGAGAGAGAGAAAGAGAGAGAGAGAGAGAGGGAGAGGAGTTTGAAGGGGAAGCAGCAAAGCAAGGGCTTGAAATCGATATCTTTTAGCATTTGGTAAGGGTTTCGAATCGCCACGCCCTGTCGATTTCTGCAATACCTCTTCTCACGGTGGCGGCGGCGGCGGTGGTGGTGGAGAGTCCTCCGTGATTCGGCTTGGCGGTGGTGAGTTTTGAATCGAAGAAATCCTATGGCGTATAGAAGAAAGCAGGTAGGGCCAAGCAGTTGGACCTTCAATGAAGAATTTGGGAGCCCTCAAATTGGTCCGTCGCCTACTCCGCCGCCGAATGAAAGCTTGTCGCCGTCCTCCGCCTCTTCTCTGGCTGCCAAAGCCATCAGAGCATCGTCCGCCTATCGCGACTCCTCTCTCTCCTCCGCTTATGGCCATTCCACTCTCTCCCCCTCCCGAGACCCCAACCTTTCTAGATCTCCTCCTCCCTCGGCGCCAAAGGTCCATTTTCTCTCTCTCTCCTCTCTCTCTAAATATATATTGTATATGTAGTGACTAAAGAACAGAACTTTGGATGTGATTGAATTGCATACGCGGACTTGCTTTGGGAATAACTGTCTCATTTCATTGTATATGCTTTTGTTGAAGAATGAAATGCATATGCTTGGCTACTGAGTGGTTTTGTTCTGGTATGTTAGTTTATGGCCATGAATTCTTTCACAAACTAACATATCTTATCTGGATGCAACACACATATGCACTATCACTGTGCATTGGAATATTAATTGGTGTATGTTGTGTATAACTATCACTTTAGCTGACTTTCTTTCACCTTTCCACTTGTTTATTGTTAGGAAGGAACCAAATCAGTCACCATCTAGACCTATTAAGTACGAAACACTGAGACTTACTGACATAACAATTTTCAAAAAGAAAAATTTACTACACATAAGGCCTATTTGGTGCAGCTTCTTAAAGCTAAAAGTTGATCAACAACTAAAAGCACCTCTTTCTTTGCTTCCCAATAATAATAATAATAAAATTCCAGACAGGGCCATGGAGACGCATCAAAATATATAAACCAAACTAAGCTTTGTGCTCCAATCAAATAAGGGTCAGTTATATGAACTCTTTTTTACCATTTCTGCTCAGTCTAAGGCTATGTGCTCAGTTAAATTAAATTATACAATTTAAACAGGAAGAAATATATGAGGGCTAGAGAGATAGTTGGCATGCTATGTTCATTGAGCTTGAGGTCCTTGTTGTTCACCATATGGTATTTATTTCTTGAGGTAACATAATTGTTTATCCATTACTCTTGAATTCCCGCCTTCAGTAGCAAACTAGTGAACCAAACATGGCCTGGCTCGCGCGCACACAAACAAACGAACAGAATTCAAAATTCTATTTTTGTATCACCAATTTATAAATCACTTTTCATAATTCATCTTTTTCACAAGGCGTAGGCACACGTGCTTAGAGAGAAAGGAATTTCAATGTTTTTTTTGGGGAGAGAATGCATCATTTTTCAGAGATGACTTCTGTGATTTTTTAGATTAGATCCTTTCTTCTGTTGGTTTCATCAAGAAACTAGCTCTTATGCTAATTGATTTATTTACAAGATAAAATCACTGCCAGGTATATACTTCTCAAAGAAATCTGGTTTGAGATGTATTTTTTCTTACATTCAAGTATTTTGAATGACTCGTGACTTCTTAGGAAGCTATTTCATGCTATCCTGAGTTGCTTCATCACCATTGTTGAAGCCATGAGAAGTTTCAATATTCTGAACTTTGATCTAATTTCATGGCATTTGGTGGTTTTGCAATTTGCATATTAATGCACTCTGTTGTAGCACTTTGCATGGTTTGGATTTTCTAATCTCAACTTATGCTATTGTTCATTCATTTTGAATATGTAATAGTTGTTTGTCATTCACATTGCGTTGATTTTTTTTTTTTTTTTAATGATTACTTTCTATTTATACAAAGTTTTTCAATTGAAATTGAAAGTGTATTTTTCTCTGATGATTTGTGATTTTAGGATTCAAACACTTATGAGTATACATCAATGAAAAGTTTGAGTGAACCTAAACATGGATTTTGGGGAGTTCTTGCAAGGAAAGCTAAAGCCATTCTCGATGATGATAATGCAGCCCAACAATCTGAAACACCTGGAAGAATGAGACCGCAGATGTCTGGTACAGAGACAAGGGGACAGGTGAGAATCATGTTTCAACATTGCATCTGAATGATGATTAGGTCCTGATGGATATTGTTCTAAAATTGCTCCGAGTAATTTTTCTTTTGGAAAGAATAATTTTTTAGTTGTGAAACATTATAAGGTGGTGTATTTGGTGATAAATTGAATCCTAATCTCTCTCTCTCTCACTCAACAAATTTTAATGATCAGTCAATTTCTGAAACCTTGGTTCCAGACCATGTAGTTGTCATTTTGTGTTCAAAAACTTTTAGATGTGCTTGACCTTATGATTTGATTATTTTATCCGCCTGTCTCATGCAGTATCATAATCCATATCATTCACCTGAGAGCCATCGAAAGAGAGAAAATCCTGCATTACAGAAAGGCCTAGGTGCAATTACATCTTCCCTAAGTTATATTGGTGGCACCATTGGTAATGCCTTCGAGGTAAGCTTCAATATGGAGTTTGAAGATTCTTTTGAGAATGTGCAAGATGTGCTTAATTCAAGAATTTGGGGTTGGAATTGGAATCTGGCCTCATAAATATGAATCTGGTGTTCAGGTGTAATCCTCCGAATAGAATTTGAATTTACCTTCAGACCTGATGCTGAGTGTTAGTTAGAAAAGAAGATACACAAGTCACTAATGATTCAGTATTATTTGCAAAATCCACTAATTAATATCAAAACAAGGGGCAAAGGAGAAACAAATGAAATTGCCTTGATGTACACCTGATCAATGCCACTTATTGTCAGTTTAACTGCTACTGCCGTTGCCAATGTCACTCACTGCCAGTGGTACCATCACATTGCTATGGTCAACATTCTTCCTCCTCCACTACCACCATCACCTCTGTTGTCACTGGCACCTCTGCAACCACCTCAATGACACAATATCACTGGCACTATTGTTGCGGCTGACTCTATCCCTGCCAGGCTGCCAACATCATCATAGTTGCACACGCATCAACACATGAAAACCCAAACGCCACACGCAAACATTCTCATTTTGCTACTTATCCATCTCTCCATATGCTGCCATTTGTTTTGTCCTCTATCAAACTGATCAATAATAATCACCCCATTTTCTAAAGGAATCTGATCTTTACTCAATAGTTTTAATGGTTTCTTTGTTTGCACCAATGTTGCCCTTTATTTTTTCAGGAGGGTCGTAATATTGTAGAGAACCGGACTGCAGACATCATTCAAGAAACTCGCAAGCTGCAAATAAGGAAAAAAGGTAGCAATTCTGAAAAGCAGAATCAAATGCCGAATGTTGGTTCTACACGGCAACAACCCTTAATGCAGACCCATATGCAACCCCAGATGCATACTGATCTTGAAATCCAACTGAAGGCATCTCGCGACGTAAGGTGGCAACTTTGTATCACTGGTTTTAATGTAGTATCTTGGATTTGTGGTGGGCTGCAATTCCCTTTTGTAATTTTTTTTTCAAAACTAGAACTGAACCTACCAAATTGGTTCTTGTACAGAAACATCAATAACTTTGATTGGTTTCATGGCACATTCATCTTGCGTTAAATATCTTGTTTTTGGTGTGCACCCCCACATGGAAGCTAGCAGCATACCTGAAAACCCTGAAAGGTTACCTAGCCTTTTTTTTTTTTTTCTTGAGTTCTCTCATATTCATCTTTGATAGAGGCCTCTCCATTCTTTGGATTCTAATAAAAATATATCTTCCACCTAATGTTACACGGGTACAGAATATTACTGCATGGGTGTGTTGCTTGCAGTCTGAAATGATTGCCAGCATTCACCTCTTGTTTCACTTACCTACCCATACATTTTTTTGCAGTGTCCTCTTATGATTTCTGTCGGATTCACATTTGCTTTCTGATTGATGATCTTGCAATTATTTCCCAAGTTGCTTTTATTTCCCTTTGTTTTTAGCAGATAATGTTGAATGGTTCTTAAGCTTCTTTCTCCCATCTGTTTGTTTCTGTTAGTATTGATGTTGCTATTATCATTGATGTTCTAAAATTGAGAATGAGGTGGGCATCTGATTAGCCTGTGCATTTAAAAATGTTTCCCTTTATATTTCTTGCTGAGCTATAGGGTTTCCCTGTCATCATCATGGTTTTACTGTTCTAGCTTCAAATTATTATAGTAATACAAAGATGAGAGCAGGAACTTAAAGAAATGGAGATGGGGAATGGTTTAGGAAACATTTTGATAGTTTATTAGTTTAATTATCAGATGCTGTTCAAATAATATTTAAGTTTGTTTGCATCAATAAGATGTATGATATGCCTTCTGGTTTACATCCCAGGTTGCCATGGCAATGGCTACCAAAGCAAAGCTTCTTCTTCGTGAGCTGAAGACAGTCAAAGCAGACCTAGCTTTTGCAAAGGAGCGTTGTGCTCAGCTGGAAGAAGAAAATAGAATTGTCAGAGAGAGTCTTGAAAAGGGAGTTAATCCGGAAGATGATGATTTGGTATTCTTCTGCTCATTCTTCTTTTTCTCTGTTACTTGTGTTTACTGTGTTGCTAGTGCAATGCATTCTGTATTTTTAAATTACTGATGCGAACCTCCATCATTAGTTTTAGAAATCATATCCTATTGTACGCAACACATTGTTTTTAACCGGCAATAACATTTTATACTCAATACTCTAAAGTCAAAATAGTTTTATTTTCCGGTGTAGAGCTTTTTATATTTTCTTTATTTATCATCCCTGTTTCAGATAGGATTTTGCTGGTTTTTTTCTACATGTACTCCTCATGTGATCAACACGTGTTAAAAAATCATAAATTTTACCATTAGTTTTTTCTGTGTACTCGTGTGATTGACACGTATTTAAAAATCCTAAATTTTGCTGTCGGTTTTTTCTGTGTACTCCTGTGATTGACACGTGTTAAAAAAATGTAAATTTTAACGTCCAACTTGAATGTAGGGTCCAAATTTAAATTAAAATAATAGAGACAAATGAAATCTAAGTTAAATTATAGAGGTGGAAAGTGTTATTTACCTTGTTCTTTTTGTGGTATTAAGAGTAGAAAGTCCTGATTGAAGTGAATCAACCTTTCTGGACTAACAGTATTCTAATGCCTGTATCTGCAATATCAGATACGGCTTCAACTTGAGACACTTCTGGCAGAGAAAGCTCGATTGGCACAGGAAAACTCAGTCTTTGCACGGGAGAACCGTTTCCTAAGAGAGATTGTTGAATACCACCAGCTAACCATGCAGGATGTTGTGTACTTCGATGAGGGCAATGAAGAGGTTAAAGAAGTCTACTCCCCCATCACGGTATCTCCAGTGAGCAATACACATTCCATTGACACAATACAAACTTCAGCCCCATCTTCCTCCCCAAGAGTACAAGCAATCCATGATGTTTCTCCAATAGTTACCCCCTTAAGCTCCTTTATTGACATGTCCGAGGAGGAAGATTTGGAAAAACTCTCTCATCGTGCGTGAATACTGCTGGCCCCTCTCTCTTTTTTCAAACCAAGGTTTGATTTGTATCAATATCATTGTGATTTTATTTTTTATTTTTTTTAATTCTTTTCTCTTTTTTTTGCTGCTCTCTCTTTGCGTGGCCAGTACATAATTGTTTGTTTTGTATCTTTGATTGTATAATTTTAAGCCATTCGGTTGTTGCCATGTTAAGAAAATAACTTTTGCAAGTTAATTTCTGAAACTTATGACCAATCACAATTCTGAAACATTGTACTGTTGCCAAAATAGATATCAAGGATATAAAGTTTTTGTTGATTTTAATTTGCGAAGATTTGGCATGCATAAACTTGGTTATAGCCTTTATGTGAGTTGATATTAATTCTCTGCATTATACGTAGTTTATTTATTTATTTATTTTTATTTTTCCAATGGGATTGGATTACATGCTAATTACTGCTAAGGCATGAATCATGGAAACAAATTGTATTTCTTAGGGTGCTGACACTGGCCAGGTCCCTGATGAATGCTCAGGGATACAAGTGTCTAGACTGTAGGTCAAGTTGATTCATTCATTAGATGAGCGATACCAATAATGTGTGTTCTTTTTTCCCTTTCATTTTTGGGTTATGATTTCATGCTGTTTGGTCAGTGACTATATATCTTAGCTTGCTATTAGTTTAGGTTACTTTGTGTCGTGGTCTTAATGTCAATTTGAGCCGTGCCTATTTTAGGTTTGATAGTGTTTTTTACGTTCATATTTTTTATTTTTGAAGGACAAGAAACAACATATGGGGTTAGGAGTTGGGTGAAGATGAAGTTGGTTCACAGAGGACTCAAACCCAAGCCATAGACACTGTCAATAGCCCAGCCTTGCCACTTGAGCTCGGTCCATGGCATATCCTAGTTTACTTTTATGTTGTGATATTGCAGGACGGCTTCAACTTTCAAATCTCTTGAGGAATGAAATGCCCTTCTCATGTATTCTCTGTAACACATGCTAGTTGTACTTCTGATGAGATGAAGTTCTTGCTTTGACCAGAAATGTTTTTCTTTCTTTTTCTCTCTTTTAATTAGAGAGATTCTTTGGTCATGGCTATTGCCAATGCAACCAGTTCCAGTTGTGTTCAATGTGATTGTTGCACTGGTTGCTGTAAGACAACATTTTATTGTTTTGGCAATGTTTTGCTTCTTTGTTTTCCTCCCTTTCTTGTTGATTGGAGGACATGCTAAATGCTAACTAACATGCATTAACACTCCTAGCAAATGTTTTTCTAGAAAGTGTTTTGTTCATTTTTTGACATTTGGTATAGGGAAAAGAAATCCATTTTGACAGAAAATGTTTCACTTTTAAAATATGAAAAATGTTTGCAAAGACTACAATTTTGTTAATGTCACCACACTATAACAATCGCCGTTACAGATACCACATTTATTGCTACCAATGTATATGTGAACCGTTCATTTTGTCAAATTTTACATATATACAAATCAAATCAAGCCAAGCCTTAATTTTTATCAAATGCGGGTGGTTACATGAATCCTTCTTCTCCACGTGACCCTATCAAAGGTCATTTCATTAGTCAAACTAAGTAGATTCATATCTCTATTTACAACGTTACTCAACGTTAATCTAGGCCTATCCCATCCCTTAACACTTCCATCTACCGTTACAGCATCGCATCTCTTCACTACTGTCTCTGTTGGTCTCCGTTGAATAAGACCAAATCATCTCAATCGATTCTCTCTCAACTTATTTTCTATCGGTGCTACTCCTACTCCTTTCCGAATATATTCATTCTTAATTCTGTCTTGTCTAGTCTTGCCACACATCCACCTTAACATTTTTATCTCAGCGACACTCATTTTATTTACATGTTTCTTGGTTGTCCAACACTTCGTCTCATACAATATCGCTAATCTAATAGTCGTTATATATAACTTACCTTTAAGTCTAGTGGGTATTCGTCTATTACACAGTACCTCAGACGCACTTCTCCACTTACATTATCCCGCCTTAATCTTATGGGCCACATCTGCATCAATCTCTCACGCTATTGTGATAATCGACCCTAAATAACGAAAATGTTCACTATTAAGCAGTTCTTGGTTCTCAATCTTCACTTCTCTGCTTTCATTGTTACTGTTACTAAATTTACACTCCATGTACTCTATCTTAATTCTGCTTATCCGGAATCCTTTAGATTCAAAAGCTTTTCTCCAAATCTCTAACTTTGTATTAACTCCTTCTCTAGTCTCATCCACTAGCACTATATCGTCTGCAGAAAGCATACACCATGGCACATTATCTTGGATATTTTTCGTCAACTCATCCATAACTAAAGCAAAAAGATAAGGACTTAAGGTAAATTCTTGGTGTAACCCTACAGTGATAGAAAATTCATTTGTCTCTTCAGTAGGCGATCTAACAGTGGTCATCACCCCCTCATATATGTCCCTAATTATATCAATGTAACATTTTGTTACCCATTTCTTCGTTAACACCCACCATATTATATCCCGGACACTCTATCATATGTTTTTTCAAGGCCGATAAATACCATATAAATGTCTATTTTCTTTTCTCTATACTTTTTTATTACTCTCCTCAAAAGATAGATCGCTTCCATTGTTGACCTGCCAGGTATAAATCCAAATTGATTTTCTGACACCTCTGTTATATCATCTGGCATGTTCCTAGTCAACAATTACATATATACAAAAATCAATAAATAAATTGATTTGATAATCATAATGATATAATTGTATTATACTTGTCTTCAAAAAAAATATGATTATTGGATCAATCTTTTTTTTTTTTTTTTTTTTGTTTAGATGATCTACAAAAAAAAATGTGACATACTTCTAACAACTTCCAATCCATGAAAATGGGTGGTTATTGCAACCACACCATCTCCTTAATCCACACCTAGGACTACAGATGTTGGTTGACTTTTTGACTTTTTAGTTATTTTGAGATGGTTTTTTTTTTTTTAATTTTTTTGATTTTTATGAGAGAAAAAATGAAATGATTATAGTTTGAATGTGACATTTTATTTTATTGGGTTAAAAAGCCTATTTTATCTTTTTGTAACTAAAATAGTCCCAACCCAACCCAACCCAACCCAACCCAAACTTTCATACCAAACGAACCCTAAATTTTCCTCTTGTACCTTACAAAACTAAATATTTATTCTTTTTTTTTTTTTTGTCTATGACAACAAAAATATAAAAGTTTATAAAAGGGTTACAAAAATTTTAATTGTGCAAGTTCGAACAATATTCAACCTAACAAAATAAATTATTTAAATCCTCGAAACAAGTCCAATAATAAATCTCACAAGACTCAATAGCACCTTACAATTCACAACAATAGACTAGAGTAGGAATGACAATTTGAACTAAACCGACGGGGACTCAAATCGCCCTATCCCGATAAGTCGGGTTTTCTCCCAAAATTACCCCCTATAAGGCCGGGGTTGGTATTAAAAATTAGATCCCCGATGGTCTTCGGGCTGGGGTAGCTATTGAAGAGAGTGTAGTCTGGGAAGAAAGAGAGGGTCTCTATGATATTGTGAGCTTTCGTGGTGAGAATGGTGATGAGAGAGAGTGTGAGGATGAAGAAGATGAAGTGTATTGTGCTCATGGTGTATGTTAGTGATGAGAGAGAGTGCAAGGATGAATAGAGTGATGATCTCTGTTTGTTTTTTTTTTTTTGTTTGGGCCGAGAAATTTTCAGGGCCGGAAAAACCTGATTCCCGTTAGGGGGCGAGGACAGTGATAAGTTCCCATCAGGGATCGAGGTTGGGGACGAAAAAATTTTACCATCAAAGATCGGAGACGGAGAATATAATCTCCGGCTCCGGCCTGGCCCGGCCCGGCTGTTGTCATTCCTAACCTAGAGACAACCTTGAACGATTAGATTTCCCCCTGGTAGCTTACAAAACTGAATATTTATTCCTTTTTGTCCACATCAACAACCAAACAAAAAAGATATTTAAAAAAAATGAGGCATACAAAATTTTGAATTGTGCAAGTGAACAATATCCATCTTCTGAAAAGCTTCTTCACGAAACTCTCATCCAGCCATGGCTGGCTGGACGAGGCTGGTGACGAGTCTCTGGATGTTTCTAATCTTCACCATTTTACACCCTCCATTTTTACTTCCTCCATTCCCAATCCTCCTCCTCACTGCTCAATCCCCTCCTCCTCCTCCTCATCCCTCTCCTCGCTCCCTCGACTCCCTTCTCCAACTTTATGCTTTCCGTTCCTTTCCCCGTCGACCCATCACCGGGATTTCCTACTCCGGCAACTTCACGGGCATCGAAATCTCCGCTCTTCGTCTCCGAACCGGTAGCCTCAGAATTAGAGGCCTCTACAACTTTAAAGAGTTCTCAATCCCATCTGGTTTGTTTGAGCAGCCTCATGTGGACAGACTAGTTTTGGTCTACCACAATTTGGGCAATTGGTCCTCCTTGTATTACCCTTTGCCTGGTTTCACTTTTCTATCTCCGGTTCTGGGTCTTCTGGCTTACAATGGTTCTGATTTATCTGCGAAAATGGTACCCGAATTGGATATCAGAGCCTTAAAAAATCCCATCATGATCAAGTTTCGTGATCTGAAAGAAAGTCCCAATGATGGGTTGTCACTGAAGAAGTGTGTGTATTTTGATTTACATGGTTTGGTTGAGTTCAACAATGTGTTGGATGGGAATGTGTGTTTGGGTACTGAACAGGGTCACTTCTCCATTGCCGTTGAGTCCACTGCTCCTCCTCCACCTCCACCTCCTCGCGGCGGTGGTGGTCGTTATATGAAGCACAATTATGATAAAATGTGGATAATTGGTGGGTTTGTTTTGATGGTCTTGTTGTTGGGTATGTTGATGATGTGTTTGATGAATTACAGACACAGAAAAAGGGTTCAAAGACTGGAAGAGGGTGCAGAGAGGAGCGTTCGATTGGAAATGATGAGTGTTGGGAGGTCGAAGATGCCAATGGCGATGGTGACTCGGACGAGACCCGTGCTGGAGGGTGAACATGCGCCTTGATACGGAATTAAAGGATCAAATTCTTTAGAGCCCCTTTGGTAAAGTTAATATTAACAATTTTTTTTTAAGTTTATATTTATAGAATTTTTGAAAAAAATTGTTTGATTTCATAGATTATAATATTTACTAAATTTTTGTAAATATAAATAAGTTAGTTACATTTTTAAATATTTTTTTCCACTTGTTTTGACCACCATCCAATGCATTACCATCACCTGCCACTGTTATCGATGACTTCTTTCGATAATCACACCTCATGATTGGAAACCAACTTTGGCCAACACTTCAAACAGGTTGGTCGGCCACTGTTTCTAATCGTAGATAATCGCTTTTGGATGTCATCTCCGGCCTTTAGAAGTCACCTTTGGCCATTGTCGCTCACCTCCATTGTATCCGGTTATTGAAAATTGTATAGGAAAGAATTAAATCTTCTCGTATAATCTTATTGATTAAGTCTGCGCTTCTCCAAACGTCGTCGCTTTACTCCCTGAAAACACAAACGTGAGCTAGCCGGCGGGTATGTGCCAGATACCTCTCCGATGCCTAAGTCAGCAAAATAGACAAAGACAAAAAGTTCTGTGTATTTGAGAATCAAAGTTGTGTGTGTTACCTCTCCATAAGTGATGTTGTAAGCTTTTATAGGTTCCGCGTGGCACAATCCTAGTAGGACTTTTACTCCTCCATGTAGAGTCCTCATAGGATTCATACTCCTGAAAGATAATGTCTATCTTTCAACACCCCCTCACTGCATAAACCAAGTGAGATGGTTCTATCATGGTCAGACTTCAACATGACCGAGGTAAGCATGGCTATGCTAAGCCGCAAACTAGACTGAAATAACATTAGCTCGGCTCTTCCATTCATTGCTCTTACCTTGACTCTTCTTAATGCTAACCACGATATGTCTAGACCGGAATAACCAGTACTCCGGTCCAAACCGGGATAACTTTTGTGAGTGACAACCAAACTTACCATAAGCCCTTTTGGGACCGGAGTAACTTCAGGTCTCTCGCGGACCGAAGTAACTTTACACCTCTCTTGGGCCGGAGTAACTTTACACCTCTCTTAGGCCGGAGTAACTTCATGGCTTTTTTACTCAGCCCTTCGCAATGTAGCCCATAACGGCCCATTACCCAGCTCGGCCAAATTTATAAGTATAAATTACCCTCTCAATTGCCCCTTAATTCCATCTGCGTAGTATGATAGGGATTACCTGTTACCAGTCGAGCTAAAAAATTTCAGAATTCCAACCGAGCTAAAACCATTTAGCCTTTCCATCAAGGTAAAAAACCCTTTTAGCCTTTCCAGTCGGGCTAAAAACCATTTTAGCCTTTCCAGGCGAGTAAAAAACCCTTTTAGCCTTTCCAACCGGGCTAAAAACCATTTTAGCCTTTCCAGCCGAGCTAAATTCACACCGGGCTGTATCTGTCCGGTCAAAACGTCTCTTCAATCACAGCAACTGAATCACTTCTCATTCCTATGACACGTGGCCCCCTCTGATTGGCCCAATGAAGCTGTCACGCCGTCTTCGTACTCCGTGAATTTTGAACAGTTCCCGCCTCTGGTCCTTCTATCAAAACAAAACTCTTTGTTTTTTCGAATCACTCACCACACTATTCATTTCCTCATCTCTCTCTTTCGTTCCTGAACTTCTTCAACCCTGAATTTGCTGAGTTCGTGTTCTTCATTGCCATTGCTTCCATCTCTGATTTCTTCCTCTTAACCTGGTAAGTTTACTCAAATCTGCCTTGTTTTTGTTGTTTTCGCATTTACTTTTACAATACATGTATTTTTTGTGTTTTTTCAAAACACATACCTTTCTTTCGTGTAATAAAACCTCTGGCTTGTCACGAATAAACTGAAAAACACTGATTTTGATCCAAAATCATAGTATAACCGAACTAAAAAGTCGTTTGTAGTTGATGTCATTCTAGGCAGACCATTCAACCGAACTAACACTTCACGTTATGCCATTAGTTTTAACAAGTCAAACCACCTTTTGTTTTAACTCAGCCGAGCTAGAAATTCGCACTAAGTCTGCGTAATAGTGCGTCTGTTAGTCTCAACCACGGCCGAGCTATAACTTGGGGCTAACCCAGCCTTCGTAGTTCAGACCGAACTAAGAGCGCTGCCCTCTGATGCTCAACCGGACTAACAAATCCCTTGCTAAAACCGAGCTAACAGACCATTTGCTCAAACCGAGCTAAGACATGAAGCATTTCGCATAGCAGAGCTAGGACTTCATTTATCTTGCCGTTATTTCTTCTTAGCACGGTCCCACGATCTGTGCGTAACACCCTTGTTTTTTACCTTGCAGACTTAGGTTGCCCAGGCATTCCCTTGAGCGCTCAACCGAGCTACTCAGAATCATTTTCCCACCGAGCTAACACCTACATATAATTTATTCATAACAAACCACAAATGGGAAAGTATAGGTTTTTAGTTGACTCTCCTGGCGCAATGGCTAAATTTCGCAAGGACTACCAAATCCCAGATGATGTCCACCTTTCACTGGCCGAGCTAGACACCATCCCTTGGGGAAAGCAAGGTTTTGTCCCTTTTAATGTTATTTCAATCGTAGAGTGCGGTCTACGTTTCCCCGTACAGCCCCTCCTCTATGAATTCCTTAGGCAAACCAAACTCTGTCCTACCCAACTTTTCACTAATTCCTACCGTATAATAAACGGCATTGCCGCGCTAAACGATCGGGCTGGTCTTAACCTCGGGCTAGCAGAACTCTTCCACCAATATTCTATAGGATCCGCCGAAGATGGATGGGTCTATTATTTAAGAATAAGACGTCAGCGTGAAAAGATAATAAAAGATACTCCGGGCAAAGATGTGAACGACGACGATTTCTTCTGAGTATCTAGGAATTTTGAGGACCAACAAGCCCAGATCCCTGGTGACAGAATAAACTGGAACAAGGGGGTATCGGTAGGTTTATCTCGGCTCCATTGAACGCCTTTCTTTACTTCGGATTTCAATATTTGAACCGGACTAACAGTTGTCTTCTTTTTATGCAGACTCAAACTTCCTCAAGTCACAGTATAGCTACCCTAACCTAGCTACACTTCGTGCCGCGCTTCGATATCCAAGCCGAAGTTGGACCGAGCTATTGAATTTCCAGCCGACCTATCGATACAGTGGCAAGCGAAAGACCAAGGTAACTGATTTCTTGTTGGAGACTTCGCCTGAACCGGACCCAACCTTGCCCCAAATCAGATTAATCCCTTTAACGGCTGAGCAAGAGATGGCCAAGAAGAGAGCCGTGCGAGCCCTTCTGACTGAAACAAATCCGACCGAGGTACCGCCAGCTGGTCAAACTCAAGAAACCGTAGTAGCTCTGCCTTCTCAACAACCTTCATCATCTCGCCCGAAGAAGCGTGCCCAGACTACCCAAACCAAGCAACGTCTTGTTGATAAAGATGAAACCGTGGTTCCTTAAACTACTCTGCCAAGCCCTCCACCGAGCCCAAAACTGGAGCGCTCTGACCGAGCTACCTCCTCTAAGTGGGCTCCAAAAATCACCTTTCAGAATCGTGCTATCACGGATTCGGACTCAGTGGTCACAGAAAAAGACCACCTGATGGCCTTCAACTTGGCTAAAGGTGTTTGTCTTCCAGCCGACATGAGGCACCACAACCATCTAACCGAGCTGAAGGCCCTTCGCTCGTCCACAAAATCCATGGTGCTGGTGAGTTGCCCCTTTATTTTTTCTAAAGAAATTTGTCCAATCTAACAGCTCGGTTATACTGAAAAAGTGTCTTACCATCCTTTTGCAGGCCATACAGAAAAACCATATCGCTCACAAGCGAGTGTTAGAACTTAGGAAAACAACAAGGCAAGCCATGACAGAAGCTGAAGCCAAAACGGCCGAGCTAAAAGCATCTCAACAGAAGACCGCCGAGCTAGAGGCCGAGGTCACCCGTCTGACCGGACTAGTTACCTCGGCTAATGCTGATAAACAAAGGTCCCTGACACTGATGAAAGACAAATACCTTTGTGAGCTGGCCAAGCTCGAAGGAAAAAAGAAGGCCGAAATAACGGAGCTTGAGAAAAAGTTGGAGGCTACAGAGGACTGGGGCTTTAAAGAGGGTGAAGCCCTATACATTAAGCAGTGTGAAGCTGCAAAGGATCTCTTTTTTAAATGCGGGTGGAGGGGTGCTGTGGTGCAGCTCGGTCATGGGCCTGAGACCGAGGTCTTCAATCCTCCTCAATACTTTATACCGAGCTCACTGGCGGAGTATGCTGCTACCACTCAGTAACAGTTTCTTGAAGATTCAGATGAAGAAGAAACCGTGCCCAACGATACCCCGGTTGTCAATGATCCCGCCTGTCATTCGGCTCGGTCGCAGCCAACGGTGGAAGATTTGACTGTCGAACTACCAACTGAAACCGTGCTTCCAACCGAGACCATACTCCCGACCGAAACCGAGCTTCCAACTGAATCTGGGCTGCGAGTTGAACTTGATGCGGATCTTGATGATTTGTTTGCCTGACTTTGCCTTCTTCTTCTTCTTGCTTGATTTCTGTATTTTTTTTTTTTGCTGGACACAAATTGTAACCGGGCTGGGGCCCCTCCTTTGTATTCGCTTTGAACTTGCCAATGAAAATCTTCTTTTTGTTCCAACTCTCATTTCGGTTGATCTCTATACTTGTATTTTACTTTCTGATTGAAGTCTTGGATGAGGTATAGCAATCGCTTGCCGAGATACTTTATATTGGTCTTTAACATTTGCAACTTATAAGTACACCTGCCAATCATTCTTTAGCCGAGATCCCTACCTCGGCTGAAGAATACTTAAAGTTGGTTTTAATCCAGCCAACTGCTCTTTAGCCGACGTCCTCACTTCGGCTGACGAGTACCAAGAGTTGGTTTTGTCCAGCCAACCACTCTCTAGCCGATATCTTTACTTCGGCTGAGGAGTACTAAGTGTTGGTTTAGTCCAGCCAACCACTCTTTAGCCGATATCCTTACTTTGGCTAAAGAGTACCAAGTGTTGGTTTAATCCAGCCAACCACTCTTTAACCAATATCCTTACTTCGGCTAAAGAGTGCCAAGTGTTGGTTTAATCCAGCCAACCACTCTTTAGCCGATATTCTTACTTCGGCTAAAGAGTACTAAGAGTTAGTTTAATCCGGCCAACCACTCTCTAGCCGATATCCTTACTTTGGCTAAAAAGTACCAAGAGTTGGTTTAATCCAGCCAACCACTCTTTAGCCGATGTCCTTACTTCGGCTAAAGAGTACCAAGAGTTGGTTTAATCCAACCAACTACTCTTTAGCCGATGTCCTTACTTCGGCTGAAGAGTACGAAGTGTTGGTTTAATCCAGCCAACTGCTCTTTAGCCGACGTCCTCACTTTGGCTGACGAGTACCAAGAGTTGGTTTTGTCCAGCCAACCACTCTCTAGCCGATATCTTTACTTCGGCTGAGGAGTACTAAGTGTTGGTTTAGTCCAGCCAACCACTCTTTAGCCGATATCCTTACTTCGGCTAAAGAGTACTAAGAGTTGGTTTGATCTAGCCAACCACTCTTTAGCCGATACCCTTACTTCGGCTAAAGAGTACCAAGAGTTGGTTTAATCCAGCTAACCACTCTTTAGCCGATGTCCTTACTTCGGCTGAAGAGTACGAAGTGTTGGTTTAATCCAGCCAACCACTCTTTAGCCGATATCCTTACTTCGGCTAAAGAGTACCAAGTACTGCTTTAATCCAGCCAACCTCTAGATTGATTTTTCTAGCCAACCTAAAGTAAAGTGTTTGGTTATTTCGACCAAACGTCCTACAACCTGGATCCTTATCCTGGGCTTAGGAGGGGTGTTGGTTTTTCCAGCCAACTACTCTTTAGCCGATGTCCTTACTTCAGCTGAAGAGTACCAAGAGTTGGTTTAATCCAACCAACCTCTAAATTGGTTATTCCTGCCAATTTAGAATAAAATGTTTGGTTATTCTGACCAAACGTCCTGCAGCCTGGATCCTTATCCTCGGCTTAGGAGGGGTGTTGGTTTTTCCAGCCAACCTCTAAATTGGTTATTCCTGCCAATTTAGAATAAAATGTTTGGTTATTCCGGCCAACCTTGCTGTTGATGTCCCTAACTTACTTAATGCAATCTCTTTTTACAGAATAAAACATTTATGCTGAAAAGAAAACTACTTGTTTTATTGGAGAAAAAAGAAAATTACAAGTATTTTGAAGAAAAGCTAAAAATAAAATAGTTTGAGATTGACAGTGTTCCATGGCCTGGGAATTGCTTTGCCGTCCTTATCTTCTAAGTGGTATGCCCCCTTGCCAGCTAATCAGACCACTTTGTAGGGTCCTTCCCAATTAGGCCCTAATTTGCCATCTTCTGGGACCAAGGTGTTTCCTATTACTTTGCACAGCACCCAATCTCCGATCTTGAATTGCCTTGGATGCACTGTTTTGTTGTACTTCCTAGATAACTCTTGTTGGTATGAGGCAATGTGAGCTAGTGCTCTGTCTCTTCTTTCCTCTACAAGGTCAAGCTCCAATGCTATGGCTTCTCCATTCAAGTCTAGATCAAAATTTTCGCTTCTAATTGTGGGGAGGCCAACTTCCAACGGGATTACTGCTTCCATGCCATAGGCTAAGGAGAATGGTGTTTCTCTTGTTGATCGTCGAGGTGTGGTGCGATAAGCCCATAAGACATGAGGGAGCTCGTCAGTCCATTTGTCTTTTGCTCTTTCTAACCTTTTATTAAGTCCATCCAAGATGACCTTGTTTGATGCTTCCGCCTGGCCATTGGCTTGGGGATATGCCGGTGTAGAATTGTAGAACTCTATTTTGTATTCTTTATAAAAGCCTCTGAAGATTCTGCCATCAAACTGGGTGCCGTTGTCTGATATTAGGGCTTTAGGTATGCCGAATCGAGTAATGATATTCTGTTAGATGAACTTCTTCACATCTTTTTCCTTGATTGATGCCAATGCTTCTGCTTCCACCCACTTTGTGAAGTAGTCTGTTGCTGCGATAAAGAACTTCCTGTTTCCGAGTGCTGTTGGAAGTGATCCTACTATGTCCAAGCCCCACATTGCAAAGGGCCATGGGCTGGACATTGGTAGGAGTTCTCTGGCTGGCTGATGTATTTGGTGTGCGAACTTCTGACATTTCTCGCACTTCTTCACATACTTCTCCGAGTCTGCCTGCATGTATGGCCACCAGTATCCTTGTGAAATGGCTCTGTAAGCTAACGATCTTCCTCCTTGGTGGCTTCTGCACACCCCTTCATGTATTTTGAACAAGAATGCTTCTACTTTACTGGGGTAGACACACTTTAGATAAGGTCCTGAGAATAACTTTTTGTATAATGCCATAGATGGGGAGAGCCAAAATCGCTGCGATTTTGCTCTAATTTTGTTGGCTTCTTTCTTTTCTTCCGGTAAGACGCCGTCTTTTAAGAACAGTATGATGGGATCCATCCATGAGGGGCCTAGTTCGGCGCAACATACCTCTTCTACTTCGGGGTCTTCAATGCTTGGTCTCGGTAGGTAGTCAATTAGTAGTGGGTGAGGGATGGATGTATATACCATTGATGCAAAGCCTACTAGTTCGTCTGCTCTGCTGTTTTCCTCCCTGCCAATCTGTTCTATTCTTACTACTTCAAATTTCTTGATCTCTGTTTTGACCAATTCTTGGTACTTGGCCATCCTGTCGTCCTTTGCTTCATAGTCGCCAGAAATTTGGTTTACCACCAGCTGTGAGTCGCTGTAGACCATTAGTGCGGTGGCCTTCACGTAGAATGCTGATTTGAGTCCTGCAAGAAGTGCTTCATACTCCGCTTCGTTGTTTGATGCTAGGAAGCCAAGGTTGATTGCTTGCTCCACAACCAGGCCGTCTGGTGGGATGAGGACTATGCCAAGTCCTGCACCATGTCGGTTGGATGCTCCATCCACAAAGAGCTTCCACATCTCTACAACGAACAGCTTCCAGCAAGTGGAGGGGTCAGATGATGTCGTGGGGTCAAGAATGTTGCTAGTGTTTTCTTCAAGGTCCATGCTTGCTGTCTGCCCCTCGTTATCTGATTGTACCAAGTCTTTATTTGTTGGTGAGTCTTGGCTCGGTGTAGCTTGGTTCGCTTCTTCTTTGCTGTCTTTACTCTGGTCTGCCATGGGATCTGACTGAGTATCCTGCACCTGGGGTTGCGCTATTCTGGCGTCAACTTCAATCCCTAATTCGGTTGTGTTAGTCAGGTCGACCTTCCAGCAAGTGGAGGGGTCAGATGATGTCGTGGGGTCAAGAATGTTGCTAGTGTTTTCTTCAAGGTCCATGCTTGCTGTCTGCCCCTCGTTATCTGATTGTACCAAGTCTTTATTTGTTGGTGAGTCTTGGCTCGGTGTAGCTTGGTTCGCTTCTTCTTTGCTATCTTTACTCTGGTCTGCCATGGGATCTGACTGAGTATCCTGCACCTGGGGTTGCGCTATTCCGGCGTCAACTTCAATCCCTAATTCGGTTGTGTTAGTTAGGTCGACTGGGCAGATACGATGACTTCTTGGGGTAAACTCTGCGACAAAGTCTGCCAAAGCTTGGGCCTTTATCGCGGTTCTGGGTTGGAACTTGATGTCGAATTGTCCCAACTCTACTGCCCACTTCAAGATTCTCCCAGAAAAGTTTGCTCTTTCGAACAGAGCTTTTAATGGGAAAGCTGTGAGGACAACTATAGTGTGGGCGTGAAAGTAGTGTGACAACTTCCTTGATGCCATCATTAAGCTAAGGCCAGCTTTTCTAGTGGCAAATACCTTGTTTCGGCATCCAGCAATGTCTTGTTGACATAATAGATGGGCAGATGTTGGATTCATTCCACACGGACCAACACTGCACTAATTGCGTGCTGAGAGACTGCCAGGTACAGGAAGAGTTCTTCTCCAAGTATTGGGGTGACAAGTAATGGTGGAGAAGACATGTATTCTTTCAAGTTTTCCAGTGCGCGGTCGCATTCTTCGCCCCACTCGAACTTGGCTTTTAATGCTTGAAAAAATGGTCGTAGTTTGTCTGACGACCGGCTAATGAATCGGTTGAGTGCAGCTACCATGCCGGTGAGATGCTGCACTTCCTTTACTGAGTTAGGCCTCTCTAGATCCTGAATAGCTTTGATCTGGGAGGGGTCTGCCTTTATACCCTGGTTGGTCACCAGGAAGCCCAAGAATTTGCTAGATCCTACACCGAACGCGCACTTAGATGCATTAAGGCGCAACTTGTGCCTCTTCAGAACCTGGAACATCTCACCTAGGTCCCTTAGATGGTCGTTCTCATCCTTGCTCTTGACCACCATGTCATCGATGTAAGCTTCCATTGTTCTGCCTAACAACGGCTCAAACATCTTGGTGACCATTCTTTAGAATGTTGCCCCTGCGTTCTTTAGGCCAAAGGGCATGACCTTATAGCAGTACAGTCCTCTTGGAGTGGTAAAAGACGTGACCTCCTAGTCTGGCTCGTACATGGCAATCTGATGGTAGCCTCTGTACACATCCAGAAAGCTAAGTCGGTTGTGCCCCGCCGTTAGGTCTACCAGTTGATCTATCCGTGGTAGGAGGAAGCTGTCCTTTGGACATGTTTTGTTGACTGTCTTATAATCGACGCAGACACGCCATTTGCCATTCTTCTTTGGCACTATGACTGTGTTGGAAATCCATCTGGGGTAGTGCACCTCTCTGATAGCTCCTGCTTCTAGCAGATTTCCTACCTCTTCTGCCACTATCTCAGCGTGGTGGAGCGCCGACCTGCGACTGCGCTGAATGATTGGTCTGGCGGATGGGTGGACATTGAGTTGGTGACAGATGAAGTTTGGATCGATGCCTGGCATGTCGTATGGTATCCAGGCGAACACTTCGATGTTAGAGGTCAGGAATTCCAAGACCTCTAATCTCTTAGTGCTGGACAACGACGAACCGAGCAAAAAAGACTTATCCGGGTTCGTATCATCTATTCCTACCTTTACCAAGT